CAAACTCGGAAAAGAAGGAAATTTGAAGGCAAAAGTGGGGAGAAATTGCCATCTGCTACCACCTAGAGATGCCAACAAAAAATGTTTGTTTCTCACCCCCCCCCCCCTCACTAGGAACGTTCGCCAGTCAGTATTTCCATTTATTTTATAAAAATACATGAGCAAGTTTCCGAAAAATATCTATTTTGCATGATTTCTTTTGCAATTTTTTTGATGCGTATAAATAAGTTTTGTGAATCACTCACATGTATATTGATCTCAATTCAAAAGAAATTGATTCGGTTTATGTGTACCTTGTTCTAAAACCCCGCTGTACATGGCATTGCTTCCCTAGGTCAGATTTGGGCGTTGAAAGATCCCTCATTGACACATCCCTGATGTATGAAATTCCGGAAGGTGTGATGAATAGTCAAAAACGATGACATCATGACATGCCCCAGGAGGTGACTACTTGAGTGATGTATGAAATTTTGAAAGAAGCTCTGACTGCATAGCAAGAGAATGATGGCGCGCCCAAGGTGTGCCACTGATGTGGTGACTAGTTGAGTGCCGCCTCTCTCTTTTGGTGTCTTCTATGCATCCTTTTGATCTTTCCCGATGTATGAAATTACGGTGCGTGACTGACTGGCTGACTGGCCGGGGAAAGGCAATGAGTACTATTAGAACCGGTAGTCAGTCATACGACTTTGCCCTGGGAAAGGAGGAAGCGAACCTAATTAGTATCTGGTTTTGGTGGGTGCCACTAATTATCATCCAATCTCTTGGACTATTTAGCAGCTTGGCGGCTTCATGACAGACTCATTGCGCGATTATCCCTTTCAACGATCTTAATTATTGCTGAATCACAACGACACTGCACTACCATTTGGATTTTTTTGCTTCGTACAGAAATTAAACCTGAACTTGTAAACCAACAAGAACTTTTTTGCAATGTGGATGAACATGAATCCCCAAAATATTGTGGCCGACTTGGGGTGCAACTTTTCTCCGGCAGCTCTCCGCAGAAGAAGCGCTGTTGGTCTGGTCTGCGGCAGTGCCCTGTTGAAAACAGATCATCGCCTTCACAGTGCCATCGTCCATGTTGCCGGCCTGTGTCTTGACGTCCTCCGGCCTAGGGTGCAGCAATCATGAGAGCGTGTGCAGCGTACGCCCAAGCCAGGTGCAAAGAGTGACCTTGGGGTGCTAGACTCTTGGCCTAGGCGCTGCAGTGCGAGGTTAGCTAAAAACATTGTACTAGGATCGACATCAATCTGCTCGTTGGCTGCAGTGAGTCAGGACAGGTTCTTTACGGATAACAGTTGGTGTTGCACGGGCAAAAGACATCTTGTTCAGGTCAGATCAGAGTGTGTAAGCAACCCACTTGTATATTGCTCGATCTAGCTCTTGCTCACGGATTCAAGTAGCGATTTAGGGTTACAATCTCTGGATACATGAATGGGAAAGGGAAGGGAAAGGGGAAAGAGCCGCCGCCGGGTTCGTGCCGTGATCCACTGGATACCTTCCTCTGGTGGGTGAAGACGCGTTAAGTAGTTGGCACCGTCACACCCACTCAGGGCCGCTGACATTGGGGTTGGGCCGCTTCTGCCTGGTGGGCCGAGCTGGTGGCGAGGCCGGTCCGTTTCTGGTCGCTGGTGCTGGGCTGCTTGTGGCCTTGACACCCCCTCCTTCTTGCGATGAGGCTTGTCCCCAAGCCTCTGCAGCCGGAAACCGAGCCTGTAGTTCTTCTTTGTCTTCCCAAGTGTCGCTGATTGACGCAGGATCAGACCACCGCACGAGGACCTGCTCAATCATGCTGCCATGCTTGCGACGCCATCGCGAAGCCAAAACCTGGACTGGAACTGCAGGTATATCAGTAGCAGTGGGAAGCTGTTGCTGAATTGGCGTACCTGGCAGCAGGGCCTTCCTCAGCAGAGACACATGGAAGACTGGGTGAACTGTTGCATTCGCCGGCAGCTCTAGTTTGTAAGCCACCGGATTGATCTTGTCGATGATGGAGTATGGCCCGTAGTACCGAAAAGAGAGCTTGTGATTAGCTCGCTTGGCCATTGATGTTTGCACGTACGGCTGTAACTTCAGGTAAACTTTTTCGCCGATCTCAAATACACGTTTTGAACGTTTCTTGTCTGCCTGCTGTTTCATACGCAAGCGAGCTCGCTGAAGGTGTTGCTGTAGCGGATCTTGAATAGTGGCGTGCTCGTCGAGCCAAGTTTGCAGGGCAGGGACAGAACAAGAAGAGGCCGCCGTGATGCCCCAGTGACGAGGTTCGTGACCGAACATAGCCATGAATGGTGTCATTCCAATGGCCGAATGTGGCGCAGCATTGTACCAGAATTGTGCAAGAGGAATCCAATGGCTCCATCGCTTGGGACAAGAATGAGTGAAACAGCAAAGAAAAGTTTCAAGGCATTGGTTCACGCGCTCCGACTGCCCATCGGTTTGTGGATGGTTGGCCGTGCTCATGCGGAGATCGGTACCAGCGTGGCGAAAGAGTTCTCGCCAAAAGTGGCTCATGAAAACAGGATCACGATCGGAGACAATAGATTGAGGGAAACCATGGATGGGGAAAATGCGTTGCATGTACAGGAGGTCAACGCGAGAAGCAGTGTAAGGATGGGCAAGTGGCAAGAAATGAGCGAACTTGGTCATCTTATCGACCAAAACCCAGATGCAATTGTACTGACCTGATTGTGGGAGACCATCGATGAAGTCCATCGTGATCATATCCCAGGATGTGGTGGGAATAGGAAGCGGGTGGAGCAGCCCTGGTGAAGCCACTCGCTCTGTTTTAGCTTGTTGACAGATTTCGCAGCATTGAGCATATTGAAGAATGTGAGCCTTCATTTTAGGCCAAGCAAATAAGCGCCTGATTCGCTTGTAGGTGGCTGGAAATCCTGAATGCCCCCCTACTGGGCTGTCATGAAACGCCGAAATGATCTGCTGCTGCAGTGCGGTGCTGCCTCCAAGCCAGATACGGTCTCTGAAACGTAGAAGCCCTTGCGACAAGCTGAAACGCCCTTTTGGGTCTGGTCTGACTGCCAACTGCTCCAACAGACGCTGTGCTTGGGGGTTGGAGTTGTAGCTTGACACGATATCGTCGAGCCACGTTGGCTGGA